CTGCAGGTACCGCCCCCATACCCTCCTCCCACCCCGAATGGCCCCATGGCCACATGCAACTTGTCTCTCCTTGGATTCCATCTCCCCCATCAGCTCTGAGCTTCAAATTGACCCTGGCGCTTTTGCTCTTCATTTTCTGTAGCTGCAGCAGCTCACACACCTGGATGCCAATATCAGTCTCCCCTTGCCTCCGGCCCATCAGGAAGTGCCACCCGGGACCGAGTGTAGCATCGCTGGCTGGGGCCGGCCAAGTGCCAATAGTAACATGACCTCCAGCATCCTCCAGGAGGTGGATCTGAAAGTGCAGGATGATTGGGTGTGTCGGACTATTCCTGGTATGAGACATCTTTAGTGTAACCCCTCCACCATGATGTGTGTGGGGGACCCCAAACAGCATCAAGCCTCTTTTAAGGTGAATGAAAATAAATGCTCTTCTTGCCAGGGCTAGCAGAGACCAGCTGGGGGCTGGCGCACATGACCCACGAGGAGAGGCTGAGGGATTTAGGCTTGTTTATTCTGCAGAAGGGAAGAGTGAGGGGAGATTTGAGAGCAGCCTTCAACTTCCTATTGGGGGGTTCCAAAGAGGCTGGAGAGAGGCTGTTCTCAGTGGGGGCAGGGGGCAGAACAAGGAGCAATGGTCTCAAGTTGCAGTGGGGGAGGTCTAGGTTGGAGATTAGGAAAAACGATTTCCCTAGGCGGGTGGGGAAGCACTGGGATGGTTTCGCTAGGGACGAGGTGGAATCTCCTAGAGGTGTTGAAGTCCTGGCTTGACCAAGCCCTGGCTGGGATGCTTGAGCCGGGATTGGTCCTTCTTTGGGCAGCGACTGGACCTGATGACTCCTGAGGGCTCTTCTTGCCCTGGGGTTCGATGGTTCCATGTCGGGTTGGGGCGTTGCTGAGATGGGCTAGGTGCTGGGGGGATGAGCAGACACAGCAGGGGCTGGGGGACGACATCACAGAAGTGCTCCTCAGCGTTTGAAGAACACGACTGGCTGAGCCGTTCTCCATCGGTGGCTTGTTCTGTGTTGCAGGGCGACTCCGGGGGACCCTTTGTGTGCGAGGCAATATCCCAGGGCATCGTCTCCTGGGGATCTCCCTCTGGGGTCCCACCCACAGTGTTCGTCCGAGTCTCCACCTTCATCCCCTGGCTTCAAGAAACGATGGGGAGGCTGCAGCCTTGAGTCCCACTGAGAATCGCTGCCTAGGCGGGACCGGTATCACTTCCGTCCTTTGGTTTGGCCCAGAGATATGGCCTGCTTTGCAAAGCAACTGAGGCCACCCTCTATGAAACAGAACCCCTTATGCTTCAGCCCCCATGCGAGAAGCACTACACCAGGGAGCCTAGGAGAGTTAGGAGCTGCTTTCAAGTCCCTTTCCTGTTTGCTTCCTTGGCCATCCCAAGCCAGAGTTTCCCCCAGGGACAGACATGAGCCTCAGGCTGCCAATTCTCCTGACAGGATGGAACGGATGCCCTTTGTGGTGTGCAGTCTGGAAGAGTTGGCAAATTTACATGAGCCAAACCCAGGGCGTGCTTGGTGGTTGGTCACTCACCCCTCGTGTCAGCCAGTCATGTGGGTGTTTAGGGGAGATCCTCATCATTTCCTGAATGGCTGAGTTGTGTAAAACCTGCCCCCCACCCTGTGTTCTCTGGGGCTCTTCCACCTCTTGGTTCCCGAGGGCGGGTACCCATTCCAAACACAGCTGTTCCCAGCGGGGCCCTGGGAGTTAGCTCACAGGACGAGAACTGAGCAAGGGATCCACAGAACTGGTTTCAGGTGCCCTGACCTGCCGCACGACCTGCTGCCTGTCGCTCGCTGCTTCAGAGCCAGCAACGAATCAACACGAAGTTGCAAAATGATGAGTGTGTGTCTTTTTGGGTCCTGAATGAACAGCACCAGCCTCCGAGCCCCCTGTTGTACCTAGGAGTTGTAACCAGGCGTTGGTTTGTGTCCCGTGGGGAATTCACGCCAAGGCTGGAGTAGTTCACACTGGCTACATCTAGACTGGCATGATTTTTCGGAAATGCTTTTAACGGAAAAGTTTTCCATTAAAAGCATTTTCGGAAAAGCGCGTCTAGATTGGTTTTGCGGAAAAGTGTTCATGGCCCATCTAGACGCGCGTTTGTGCAAAAAAAGCCCCGATCGCCATTTTTGCGATCGGGGCTTTTTGGCGCAAAACAAATCTCAGCTGTCTACACTGGCCCTTTTGCGCAAAAGTTTTGCACCAAAGGGACTTTTGCCCGAACGGGAGCAGCATAGTATTTCCGCAAGAAGCACCGATTTCTTACAATAGGAAGTCAGTCCTTTTGTGGAAATTCAGGCGACCAGTGTAGACAGCTGGCAAGTTTTCCCCGAAAAGCGGCTGATTTTCTGGAAAAACTGGCCAGTCTAGACTCAGCCACTGGGTCTGATGCAACACCAAAGAAAATGATAAGCACGAAAGGAAGAAACAGTTGTCGTTAGCTCTGTGACTCTGGATTGGCACAGCTGGCCCCCGGCCCACCTCCCTGCCAATGTACTTTAGGCCAGAAGACTGGAAAAAAGGCAAATATAATGCCCAAAAAGGGGGAAAAAGACAATCTAGGATGGTACAGACCATCAGAAGATAAGAACAGCCATACTGGGTCAGACCAAAGGTCCATCTCGCCCCCTCTAAGCTTGCTTGTCAAATTTCCTGCGTAGCTGCTCCTGTTTCCTTAGGAGAAGGCTTTTTAAGGCTCTGGCATTATTGAATTCCTATGCCCTCTGGTTAAGGCTTGATGGGCGTTAAAAGGATTCAGTCTCAAAGCCTCAGAGATTCAGGAGAATATTTCATAACAATATTTTCGGGAATTGAAGACGACTACCATACCCCCCTGCTCTCCGTCGGCCTTCTCTGCTCCAGACTAAACAAACCCAGTTGTTCTTTCAAACGTTCCTCGCAGACCACGCATGCCAGACCTTTTGTCTTTTCTCTTGCTCTCCTCTGGCCTTTCTCCCGTTTCTCCACATCTTGCGTGTCGTGCCGTGCCCCCAGCTGGACACAACCATCCAGATGAGTCCCCAGTCAGCGCTGAGTCAAGCAGAAGAATTTCTTCTCGTGCCTTGTTGACAAGTCTCCTAGGAACCCATCCCAGGTTGACGTCGGCTGGTTTTGCAACACAATTATATTGTTGGCTCATACTTACATTGTTGGCTATGATCCCCAACTCATTATCTGCAGTCACTTCCTCTTTCATATGTGGGTAACTGGCTGTCCCTTCCAAAGGGCAGGGATTTGCCTTTGTCCTTAGTGCATTGTGTCCTGTTTATTTCAGACCATTTCTCTGGTTTGTTGAGGTTCAACAAGGACAAGTGCAGAGTCCTGTCCTTGGGGTGGAAGAATCCCAAGCATTGGTACAGGCTGGGGACCGATGGGCTAAGCAGCAGTTCAGCATAAACAGGCCTGGGGTTTCCAGTGGATGACAAGCTGGAGATGAGTCAACAGGGTGCCCTTGTAGCCAAGAAGTCTAAGGGCATATTGGGGTGCATTAAGAGGAGCATTGCTACCAGATCTAGAGAAGCGATTGTTCTCCATTATACTTCTCTGGTGAGGTCATACCTGGAGTATTGCATCCAATTCTGGGGCCCCCAGTACAGAAAGGATGTGGTTGCATTGGAGAGAGTCCAGTAGAGGGCCATCAAAATGAAAAAGGGGCTGGAGAACCTGACCTACAAGGAGAGGCCAGGGGATTTGAGCTTGTTTAGTCTGCAGACGAGAAGAGTAAAGGGGCTGGAGCCCCTGACCTACAAGGAGAGGCCGGGGGATTTGAGCTTGTTCAGTCTGCAGACGAGAAGAGTGAGGGGGGATTTGAGAGCAGCCTTCAACTCCCTGAAGGGGGTTCCCAAGAGGCTGGTCGCAGGGTATGTCTACACTACCACCCTAGTTCGAACTAGGGTGGTTAATGTAGGCAACCAGAGTTGCAAATGAAGCCCGGGGTGCTGCGCGGCTACACACGGCACGGACTAGCTAGTTCGGATTAGGCTTCTAATATTTTTAAATATCCGCTAGTGTTCATTTATGCAAATGAAGCCCGGGAAATTCAAATCCCGTGCTTCATTTGCAACTCCGGTTGCCTACATTACCGCCCTAGTTCGAACTAGGGTGGTAGTGTAGACATACCCTAAGTGGTGACAGAATGAGGAGCAGTGGGGGAGATCTCAGTTGGAGATTAGGAAAAATGATTTCCCTAGGCAGGTGGGGAAGCGCTGGGATGGGTTCCCTAGGGCGGGGGTGGAATCTTCATTCCTAGAGGCTTTTAAGTCCCTGCTTGACCAAGCCCTGGCTGGGATGATTGAGTTGGGTTGTTCCTGCTTTGGGCAGGGGCTGGACTCGGTGCCTCCTGAGGTCTCTTCCAACCCTGAGATTCTAATATTCTATGATGGGGTCAAGTTAATGATGGGAGGGCTGAAGAAAACGCCTGGCAGGTTGCCGTTTTTGGCTTCTCCATAAGACACGGGGAAGGCACCTGAGCTCGGGGTGCAAGGGCCGTCATGGGGAGGCTGCAGGGGACTCTGAAGTGCCACAGGGGAAGTCCGAGCAAAACCCCAGGGGGGAACCTCCAATCCACTGAGAAGGGAGGCCACTGGGTGGGACAGGGAGAGGGATTCATCTGGGCAACCGGCTTCAGGCTCTCCAGCCAGGGTCACACAGATCAGCAGAATGTACCCTGCTGGCCCAGAACCCCTGTGGATCTAAAGATCCACAGAGACATGGGCAGATTCCTCCATCTGCAGCTGGGAGGCCTCAGCACTGGCCCCAATCCTGGACCAGAGCCAGGAGAACACCACCGCAGGAAGGAAGCACCCGGTGATGCAGGCGGGGATGTGGCAAGAGTTTTCCTCTAGAGGAAACCCTCCCCTTGACACATCACTGCTGGGAATTTCTTGGCAGCTGAGGAGGCAACTTGGCATGTCCCAGGTCGCCTCTTCCGGGGTCCCCTCCCCGCCGCCTGCTCTATATAAACTCCGAGGCTGGGACAGACCCACCAGTCCCGGCGTCTGGATTAGAAGCAAGGATGCTGCTGGTTCTTCTCTTCTCCACGGCCGTCCTCCCGCTCGCTGTGGACTCTCTCCAGCCTGAGCAACCTCATACTGGTGAGTACGGCTGTGCCACCGGTTCATGTCTTGGGCTTTAGTGGGGCTGGGGTGTGGGTTCAAAAACCTGGGCCAAAGCGAGTTTCATCCTCAAATGGATTTCTCTCTCACTGGCATGAAAACCCTAAGAAGACATGGTTCCAACGCTGATCGTTTTTCGTTTTTTCCCCTGTGTCTTTTGAATTGTATCCTTCAGTTTGATTTTTTCCCCCCTTTTTGGCTTCATTTGGCTTCATTTGGCTTCATTTGCTTCCCATTCAGGTTTTTTGTCACCGTTATTTTCCTTCGTTAGCTGAATTTTGAAGCTATTTTGATGCAAAATGTGGTTCCGGGGCCGTTTCATTTAATTTTCATTTGCTTTCAGGGGCTTACATCTATCACCCAAAAACTGTCATTTTTATTTTCGGGGTTTGTTTCCATCCCCACCCCAAAATGAGGGGTGTTTTTTTTCCATTTGATTCCAGGTTGATTTAGAGGCTTTATTACCACTGCTGTAAACATTTGTTTTCAAGCAATAATTCACTCCATTTCTACACAAAACATTTCAAAACTAAAAAGTGTGATTTTTTTGTTTCCCACTGCCCAGAACAAAAGCTAATTAATTTTCCCAGGAAAAAAAATGTTCCCCCCCCATTTTTGCAACCAAAAAACCCCATCTGGGGAGGCCCCAAAGTTGCATTGTTTTGCAAATTTGTGAGTCGCTTAAAAACCTTTCCCTCGCTTTAGAGGTGAGACCTGGGTAGTTGGGGACCGCGAGTGATGCAGCCCACATCAGGGTAGTGGAGAAGAATTAGGTGCCAGGAGATGGGACTATGGGCTTGGGGAGATGATAGGGAACCCCTGGTCTAGTTCATTAAGTGGGGAGATGGCCATGGGGTGGCCCCACAGCCCAACGAATAGCTGGATGGCTCTGGATGTATGGACAGGTTCATGCGAGAAGATGTAGATTACAGCGGGGATGGGATAGACAGAATGGACTGGTGGAGGCCAAGCTGAGCACGACTCCGAGATGCTGATCCCATGTTGAGGCCAGGATGTGGGCCCAAGGGGCTGACCCAAGCCAGCAGAGATACTGAGGGATGAGGGTCTGGGTTCCACTTGTCTCCTGGTCCAGCCTCTCTTCTGACCCCCTCCCTGTTTCTCCCCAGCTCGAGTTATCAGCGGCCACGAAGCCTCGCCCAGGCCCTACATGGCCTATGTGCAAATCGGCTCCTCAGGAAGCTGCGGTGGGTTCCTGATCCGGGAGGACGTGGTGTTGACGGCGGCTCATTGCAACTGCAACCTAGGGTAAGACATGCCCCTTTCCCCCCTCCTGGTGGCCCCCGAAAAGGACCCATGCCAAGTGCCATTTCCCGCCTGCTGGGCCAATCATTCCCCCAGTAGGGGGCGCCATCCCTGATCCGACCCGAGGCTGGGAGTAAGCCCTGTTTCCCATTCTCCATCCCCTGAGCAATATGTTGACCAAAGACTAGACATATATGGAACATGAAAATTGTGAATTTCCCCAGGTGCCTTTTCGATGTCAGAGCCCAAACCCACTAAACACTACCTGCCCTTCCGGGAGAACATTCCAGCTAATGATTATTTTCAGTAGAAGAAGAACAACTCCTGTCACTAAGTCCACTCAGTGGCAACCTAGTGTCTTCTCAGGTCTTTTCCCTCAGCCATTACTTCTCAAACTCTCGACACTCGGTTGTTCTTAGCCAATCAAGAACTGTCCCAGTTGACTTTGGGGATTTGAAATCTTCCGAACAGAATAATCTTCTAGGCAATTGATATACATCAGGGATGGAACTTAATGGTTTTACCAGAGGTGGATCCAATCCTCAGGGTTTCCTGCTACCTTCGCTTATGATCCTCAGCCATCTATCCTTTTGTGCATCTAGCACATTTCTCATGCTGCCTGTCATTCATTCTCCAAGCACGAAAGACACCCTTCGCCTTGTTCTCCACAAATGTGGTTCTTGATAGTTCTCATTTGAAGGTCTCCTGAGGTCTCTTCCGGCTCTATGATTCTATGGTATCAACCATCAAGAGCATTCCCCTCGAGTTATCATTAGATGTTCTCGTAGGGTCCTCGATATGGGGTTGGGCTACATTACCACGGGAGATTGACCTAAATTAGAATCATAGAACACTAGAACTGGAAGGAACCTCGAGAGGTCATCGAGTCCAGTCCCCTGCCCTCAAGGCAAGACCAAGCACCGTCTAGATCATCCCTGACAAGTTATTCAACTGCAGCCACATAGACAACATAGCTGAAGCCAACAGACTTCAATCTACTTTCCCACAGGGCTTCACTGTGGTGTGCTGATGGGAGATATTCTCCCGTAAACTCCCCTTCTGTGTCTCGTTGAGGTGGAGAAACGTAGTCAACAGGAGAGCAATTGTCAACCGATTTATTGCATCTATGCTAGACCCCTGGATCGATTGCTGCTGTGTTGATCCGGCATGTAGTGAAGACATTGCCTTAGGTTACATCTACACTACACACTTATTTTGGAAGAAGCTATTCCAGAAGAAATACTCTGAAATAGCTTATTTCAAAATAGCATGTCTACGCTACAGGGAAGCCTGGCAATTAGTCTAATATGAACGCACTACCTCGATTTAGCACCCCAGGGAGCTCTGGGGAGTACTTACTGTGAATGGCCTGGGGGAGGAGCTATTTGAAGTAACAGCAGTGGAGCGATCCTGCTACTGCTATTCCGAGATAACTATTTCAGAAGAGGCGTTATTCCTTGTGGAATGAGGTTCACAGAATCCGAAGGAAACCGCCCATTATTTCAACGTTATTTTGAAATAACGGAACTGCTGTGTAGACGCTTGCACAGTTATTTCGGAATAGCGTCCATTATTCCAAAATAACGCGTTGTAGACTCATCCTTAGCAACAGGAAGCCGAAAAAGACATGGAGCCTGGGTAGGTAAAAATCCATGGTATGGTTCTTTCAGGTCTCAGTAGGCTAAGAACCGAGTTAAGAAGCGAACACCCAAGACCGTGATAAAAGGAAGACAAAACAATACAATCTCTGCTGTCAACTTTCACCACTTCCTCTCACCTCCCACTAACCCCGGAGGAGGGAAGGGTCTATTTAGAGGGGCTGGGCCAAATATCTCTGGACCCTTCTGGACTTCCATATCTTTTGTGATGCACTCAGCAACCACTTCTGTCCCACACCGTGACCTTTTCTCCAGGGTCATCGGCTTAGCCAGGGCTACTTTCTTGCAAACCAGTAGATGGCGGTGGTGCACCAAAACTCCTTGAGCCTTTTCTTATTTGCATATTTCTGCCCAGCGTAGTCTTCTCGGATTCCACCCTCCTCCTTCTTTGTAACTAACTCCGCACGGTGCCTCTCGGGATATTTGCTGTGGATATCCACCATCTTCATCTCACGTCTCCATACGTGGCCCAGCTGTGGTGGTACGGCAGAGATCAACGAAAGCATATTGTCTTCCAGTTTGCACTGATCCAAGAGCAAACACATCTGAGTGAGTCAAGGATGGAGTCTCAGCCTTCGGCTTCTATTTTTCATACTTGTCAGGTGGTTTCACCCTGACTCTTAATGATCATAGGACCACAGAACACTAGAAGCAGAAGGGTCCTTGAGAAGTCACCAAATCCAGTCCCTTGCCCTCATAGAAGGACCAAGCACCATCTAGATCATCCCCGACAGGTGTCTGTCCAACCAGCTCAAATATTTCCAGGGATGGAGATCCCACAACCTCCCTTGGCAACTTATTCCAGTGTTGAACCACCCTGGCAGGTAGGAAGTTTTTCCTAATGTCCAACCTAAATGTCCCTTGCTGCAATTGAAGCCCGTTGCTTCTTGTCCTATCCTCAGAGGCCAAGAAGAGCAATTTTTCCTCCCTCCTCCTTGTAGCACTGTTTTAGATACTTGATATTGTAAAATTTAATATTTCAAAGATACCCTCAAGTGAGTATCTTAGGGGTTTTCTTTCTTGCAATCAAATCAAAGATTTCTAGATTTCAAGATCGTTGTATGATCTTCTGCAAAACAGGCCAGAGAATTTCCTTCTCATAGTTCCTACTGATGTACACCAGGGCTACGTCTACACTGGCACCCTTTTCCGGAAATGCTTAAAACGGAACAGTTTTCCGTTATAAGTATTTGCGGAAAAAGCGCGTCTACATTGCCAGGATGCTTTTCCGGAAAAGCACTTTTTCCAGAAAAGTGTCCATGCCAATGTTGACGATCAGGGCTTTTTTGTGGAAAAGCAATCTGTGCTGTCTACACTGGCCCTTTTCCGGAACAGTTTTCCGGAAAAGGACTTTTGCCCGAACAGGAGCAGCATAGTTTTCCCGGAAAAACACTGATGATTTTACATTGGATCATCAGTGCTTTTCCGGAAATTTAAGGGGCCAGTGTAGACAGTGGCAAGTTATTCCGGAAAAGCGACTTATTTTCCGGAATAAGTGGCCAGTGTAGACACAGCCCAGATGTTTTCAAAAAGCCAACCTTGATTAAAACTGGCCAGCGATGGACAACCCACCATGACCTTTGGCAAATTGTCCCACTGGTTTGCTACTGTCCCCGTTAAAAATTCGTACCATGAAACAATCATCGAGAAAGGAAAACAAACAGAATCCTTGATAGACCCTTGGAATTTGAACTGAATTGAGCTTGAGTTTCTCCATGTAAGGCGGGTTTCCCTCTTTCGATCCGACTCCTGGTTTGTCAGTGACCTCTCTCCAATATATCAATGACTTTCTTGAGACACGGACAACAGAGCTGGATGATCGGTAACACCGAATAGGAGAGCAGGGCACCGGTCAGTCTTTTAGCATCTCTTTGGCCAACAAGGAGAGGGAGAAAGTCTAGCCATAAGGAGATGGTCTCTGTGTTACTCAGTCACAGAGCTTTATGTAGAAATTGTCACCAGCCAGCAATGTTCTCCCTCTATTTTTTCCATGCATGTGTGGAATAATTTTGTATATGCACCCAAGCATGTGTAAATGTGCACCACCAAGATAAACACAAAGGGAGCTGTGGGAACTCTGCTAATCAGCTGGGCAACATTTCACTCTCTCCTGAATGGCTATAAAATGACCAGCTTAGAGGGAACACTGCAGGACAAGAGCAGGGATGGAGTCCCTCCGCAAGGGGATGTGGCATCCCCATCCTGCTCCCCACAAGCCCTAATGCCCCTTCGTTCCCCTCCCCCTTGTCTTTTCCAGTCACATCTTTGTCTACCTGGGAGTCCAAGACTTCATGAAACCAGGACAGAACTGGCAACGGATCCGTGTTCGTCGCTGGGTCCAGCACCCCGACTTCAACAACGAGAACTATGACAATGACATCATGCTGCTGAAGGTACCGCCCCGTGACCTCACACTACTAGGGCACCACCCCCATCCCATCATCCCATCCCATTCCCCACCCCCAGTGACCTCACACTGCTGCAGGTACCACCTCCATCCCATCCCCCACCCCCAGTGACCTCACACAGCAGGTTCCACCTTCATCACATGACCCCACCTGGAGTGACCTCCCACTTCGAGGGTACTGCTCCCAGCCCCTCACCCTGCCTCCCGTCCACCAACACTCATTCCCTGGACAGAGAGCCAGGCTCCGGCTGGCTGGTGTTGCCCTACAGCATTTCGGAACCTGCCCTGATCCAGGTCCACTCTCTATTGTCCCCGGCAGATGACACACGGTGCGGATCTGAACGAATGGGTAGGGACCATTCCCCTGCCGGAGGCCAATGACCACCTCCTCCCAGGCGCCAAGTGCAGCGTGGCCGGGTGGGGTCGGACCGGCGTGAACACCAGCACCGACAGGCTGCAGGAGGCGGAGCAGGAGGTGGTGTTGGGGGATTTGTGCCAAAAGCAGTACCGGCATTACAACCCCACCACAATGCTGTGCGCCGGAAACTCCCAAACCAACGAATCAGCATACCAGGTACATATCCCCCTCCCCACCACTGGAGGAGCAGCAAGGTTGTGGGAGGTTGTGGACTCTCCATCTCTGGACATATTGAAGAACAGGTTGGATAAATTTCTATCAGGGATGGTCTAGACGGTATTTGGTCCTGCCATGAGGGCAAGGGACTGGACTCGACATCCCTTCCGGTTCTAGTGTTCTACGATTCTAAAGTTCTCCAGGGAAAAGAGCTGGGGGGAACCAATATGGCCATGCCCCTGGGACGATTCACTTCCCCAAGGAAGCATCCCATGGTGCATCACGGGAAATACAGCCAGCCAGGGAGACCAGCACCTAGGAGGTCCAAGCTGCTCAGGGTGGAAACGGGTTCAAATTTAAGTGGGGTTCCTGCGCCTATGAACATGTCGCAAAAGTTGCTGATGTGAGCTGGGGGCTCATCCGTTGGTAACCACAGGGGGAGAACGAGTCACAGGATGACTACAGGACACCTGTGGCCCACGTCCACACCCAGAAGAAAGGCCGAGGTGCTCCTACGATGGAGCAGGCGAGGTGCCTCCAGTAGAGAGAAGGCTCTGGACAGCTCTCAGCAGGCAATTGGTAAGAGGGATCTCGGCTGTAGTAGGGGCGAAGAGTGGATGGAACTGTCTGGAGAACGGGTCTAAGGAGAGGGAAGAAATCACCTGGGCTAGGTTAGCCTAAATTCATCCTGAGAGGGGTCTGATCGGGCTATAAATACACCAGAATGGAGAGGACTCGGCAGAGGGAAATGAAGATAGAAATTAAAGGAGCAATGGGCTCACATTGCAGTGGGGCAGGTCTAGGTTGGATATTAGGAAAAACCATTTCCCTTCGAGGGCAGGGAAGCAGTGGAATGGGTTCCCTAGAGAGGGGGTGGAATCTCCATCCCTCAAGGTGTTAAAGTCCTGGCTTGACTAAGCCCTGGCTGGGATCATTGAGTTGGGGTCAGTCCTGCTTTGGGCAGGGGGCTGGACTCGGTGACCCCTGAAGTCTATGCCTGCCCTATGATTCCGTGATTCCATAAAGGATAAATCATACACCTCTAATTGATTCCATTAGAATTCACCTCCCTCCATTTAACAACCTAAAGACACCAGGTTTAACAGACTAAAAGGGTATGTCTACACTAGCCACCCTAGTTCTGACTAGGCTAATGTAGTCATTCGAACTTGCAAATGAAGCCTGGGATTTAAATATCCCGGGCTTCATTTGCATGTTCCCGGGTGCCGCCATTTTTAAATGACCCGTAGTTCGAACTACCTGCCCTTGGCTACATGCAGCACGGGCTAGATAATTCCAACTAAAGCTCCTAATTCCAACTCCCGTTACTCCTTCTGCAATGAGGAGTAACGGTAGTTCGAATTAAGAACGTTAATTTGAACTACCTAGCCTGTGCCGCCTGTAGCCGCGGGCAGGTAGTTCAAGCTACTGGGTATTTAAAAATGGCGGCGCCCGGGAACATGCAAATGAAGCCTGGGATATTTAAATCCCGGGACTCATTTGCAAGTTCAAATGACTATATAACTACCCTAGTCCAAACTAGGGTGGCTAGTGTAGACATACCCAAAGTGAATTAAGTCAATTAACCAAGTGCACGGGAATAAATAAAATGTGTCACCCTGGCATTTAAGCCGGCCCCCAGTTATTCTGTCATCCCTCTGGATCTCAGCGCCCAAACACTGGCTAGTATCGATGTGCTGGGAGACCAGCAGCTGGAGAGGAGACAGCCCTGGGCAGGAGGTGTTGTTGCTTGGACTGATGCACACACAACTGCACAATCCCTCTGTCTCCGGAGCAGGTCCCACCAGACACCAGCAGCTCTGGGGCCCTGAGCAACTCCCTTGGCCACTCTCCGGCCCCACAGTCTGCCTGAAGCACTTTGCCAACAGCCCCGGTGACTTCCAGCACCTTCTCTGCAGGCCTCTCTCCTCTAGGGACAATCGCCACCGGCCCCTCCCACTCTCTCCCTGCACTGCTTGGGAGAGAGCAAAAGTTTCCCTCCTTTTCTCCCAAGGCATCCTGGGAGTTGTAGTCTGTAGGCTGGATGGCAGAACCAAGGACCCTCCCAGGCAAAGTCGGTGGCTCCTACAGCAATGGAGGCCCATGCACAACTAGGGAAAAACTGCTTAACATTTTGCAGAACGGATTCCAAATGAAATGTTTCAGGCCCTTTTAGGAAAAACATTCTGATTTGAGTGGGACAATCCTGAAATGGAAAAAAAACACCCTTTCGATTTCCTGCAAGGGAAAAGGGAAAACGGATGGTTTTCTATGGAAAATGTCAATTGTATAGAAATTGCCTTTTCTGTTGGTTGATCACTGATGTTTTTCACCTTCCTGGCAGGGTGATTCCGGCGGGCCCCTGGTGTGCAATGGGACTGTCCGTGGCATCGTCTCCAGTGGCGATCTGAATGGGCACCCCCCCAGCATCTACACGAGAATCTCCCACTTCATCCCCTGGGTCAATGAAATGCTGCAGAAACTGAGTTAAAGGCGTCCTTCCCCTTGACAAGGCAAATTTTGCCCCCGGGGGATTTGTGTCTACACGGGACCCAAGATGCTTTAGATCACAGTATTTTATATTTTAGTGTGAGAGAAATGTAGCAAAGGGCTCAGTTCTGAGATCCTTGAGCACCTAGCAATGCCCCGTCAATGTTGGAAACTTTATTCTGTTCTCTTGTTTCTCCACGCGACCGGTCAACATGGGGACCATGAGGGTACTCGGGTTAGGAGCAGAATTGGACAACGGAGTCTGGGCTTGGCTTTGCTGTGGTCCAGTTGATTCACAAGGAATAGCTCAAGTCCTGTTTCCCTGACCACGGTTGGAACCAAACAGCAGCAGACAGCTCCTCTGTTCACAGTCCGAAGCCCGCCTCTCCCGTCAAGACTCTGTGCCCAAAAAGCCACCGCTCTTAGCTGTTTCTCAGGGCCGTGGTGCTGTGTGTCCCAGCTTGGTCGGCCTGGCTTTTTACTTTGCATCTGTCTCTCTTCTAGCCCCAGGTCGCCCTGCACCCGACCCACATGCTCCACTACCCCAGAACAACATTTGGTGGCAACTTTTCCTTCTGAGTCATTAGAATTCCCCCCATAGGTACAGGGTTTTTCCATCAGCCTAGAGGATTCTGGAGCAAGGGTGACAAGTATCGAAAGGGTAGCCATATGAGACTGTATCCAACTGTGTCCTGGGACAAAAGAACGTAAGAGCAGCCATACTGGGTCAGACCAAAGGTCCATCTAGCCCCGTATTCTGTCTGCTGACAGTGACTAATGCCAGGTGACCCAGAGGGAGGGAATCCTCATGCGATCCCTCCTCTATCACCCACCTCCAGAGAAACAGAGGCTGGGGACACCATTCCTAACCATCCTGGCTAGTAGCCATTGATGGACCTTACCTCTGTGAATTTATCTAGTTCTTTCTTGAACCCTTAAAGTCCTGGCCTTCACAACCTCCTCTGGCAAGGAGTTCCACAGGTTGACTGTGCGCTGTGTGAAGAAAAACGTCCTTTGGTTTGTTTCATTCCATTGGGTGTCCCCTTAGGGTCCTTAAAGATTAACAGATTTATTTGGGCATAAACTTTTGTGGGGCAAAAAGCCACGTTGTAAGCGGCATGGAACTAGACTGGAATTTTCCCTGTTGAATTCTATATGCCCTCTACAAATGTTGACCGTTTTTATATCCGTTATATTCTTCAGGAGTTTTCTACCCTCCAAATCCCTAATCACCCCTTGTCATTTTATTATTTATGATTCCGAGCCAAAGGATGGGAACCCTGGAAGTATCGCGGAGTGATTCTGGGGCCAAAACAAAGAATTGTGTGTTTCCAAATATTTGGGGGAAAAAACAGACACTTGTTCAAAAAAGAAACAGTCGAAACGGGGGAGGGGGGGAGAAGAGCACTTTTTAATAAAAACTGTCTTGTTTGAACAATTCTCTCTACCGTCTCCCTCCTGGATTGGATGTTGTTGAAGTGTATGATCCCGGACCAAGCCTACATGTGTATGAGCATCTGAGCCCCTAGCTCCTCCAGTTAGGGCATCTCAACATGTGTAGGGTCATTAGCTTCAAATGGGGAAACTGAGGCACAGAGAGGGGCCATAACTTCTCCAAGGTCACCCACTCGCAGAGCTGGGAACACAACCTAGCCGGCTGGAGGCACAGCCCCGTGCGCTCATCACTACGCCATACTGCTCCCCGGCAGCACACAGCACGTCGGTCAGGGCAGTCGCAGGAAAGGCAGCCCCATAGCTCCTCCCCCCAAACTGCTTGTTAACATCAGCGGCTGTCTCCTCTCCTCTGTGGTTTTCAGGGGCCTGACACAAACGCCCCCGGGTGAACAGGAACAGCTAGGGAAGGCCACAACTGTGTGTCAGACAGTGACCACAATCCAGAGATGCCGAACTGGTCGAAGGCCCCCATATCATTCCACATCCCTGAACCAGACAGACCCCTGCCATGGGGCCGGATCAGAGATGCCTTCATAGGGCAAAGACCCCCATGTCAGTACATCCCCCATGGCAGGGCTGGTGTCAGGTTCACCAATGCTGCAGCCTCTCCCTGCCCCAGTGCCCCTAGTTTTACAGCACTGCCTCCGCTCAGTTTTGCCCCACCAGTGTGTGTGTGTGTGGGGGGGGGGATCATGGTTCTGCATGCTCACTGTGTGCAGAGTCCCAGTTCACTCTGAGCCACACAATATCCTGTGTAGGGCCCCAAGTCTCCAGGACACCACCTTGGTTTGGAGCGGGGTGGGGCTATGCGTTGGGCTGGGTTCGAGAAGGCTACATCAGCTGGATTCACACGCAAGGGTGTGGCTGGACCAAGCTCACCCAGCACCCCAGATCGCTCCCCACACCAGCCCCGGAGATGTCAGTATTTTCCACTCTTCCAGGAGCTCGTCTCATGAGAACTTCAGCTGGGACACTGGAGTGACTCTGGTTTGGGTGTCCCACCTGAGACATGGTGTTTAGTCAGGACTGTCAGAGACCCACAACCCCATCCTAGGATCCTAGAACGGGACCGGACCTTGAGAGGTCATCCAGCCTAGCCTCCTGTCCTCACGGCAGGACCAAGCACCATCTAGACCATCCGACAGGTGTCCGTCCAACCTGATCTTAAATATCTCCAGAGATGGAGATTCCACAATCCCCCTGGGCAATTTATTCCAGTGTTTAACCACTGTGATTCATGTCCAATGTCCAGTGTTTAACGTCCAGCCTCAACCTCCCTTGCTGCAGTTTAAGCCCATTATTTCTTGTCCTCCCCTCAGAGTCCAAGGAGAACAATTTTTCTCCCTCCTCCTTGTGACACCCTTTCAGATACCTGAAAACCGCTATCCTGTCCCTTCTCAGTCTTCTCCTTTCCAGACTAACAAAACCCAGTTCTTTCAGACTTACCACATCGGTCCCATTTTCTTGCTGCTGAGCGTGTTTATTTGTGTGACAAGTAACGGAGGGGAGACTGTGTTCATCTGAATCTGCATAAGCAACGAGGAGTCCCGTGGCACCTTCTAGACTCACAGATGTATTGGAGCGTGAGCTTTCGTGGGCAAAGACCCACTTCATCAGATGCATGGAGTGGAAATGGATTTCTGTGGCTGTCCGTGTGCTGAGCGGGTTTGGAGGACCGTGTGCTGAGCGGGTTTGGAGGACCGTGTGCTCCGGCCAGCAGCCTGCTACATACGGCAGAGAGCTTCTTAAGGAGGCTTTGCGATCTCATCATTTTCACACCCATCAGGCCTTAACCAGAGGGCTATTCAGGAAGGTGAGGGCTTTAAAAAGTCTACTCCTGAGCAAACAGAGGAGCTAGCAAACAGGAGCAGCGAAGCAGAGAGTTGGGCGAGGGACTTTATAGGGGGCAAGTTGGACCTTTAGTCTGACCCAATATGGCCGTTTGTGTCTTATGGTCTTCCAGGGTTGTCTTTATGGGCTTTATGTCTTTATGGCTTGGTCTAGACTATAACCTTTTGTTGGAAAAAGCGACGCCAATTGCTCTCCACAATTGGAGCCGCTTTTTCTGATTCCTTTTCTGGAAGAGACTTTCCCACCATTTGGGCCAAATTACGGAAAAGACTCCTCTTTTGGAGGAGCCCTTATTCGTCCTAGAACGAGGTAGACAGGGATCCCCGAAAGAGCGTCTCTCCTCTTCTGCAAAAAAAAGCAGAAGGGAAAATGCATTTCCTGGACGTGGCGGGGATTTTTCCGGGCTACATCTGGGATCCCAGAAAACCCCACAGTTTAGACATAACCTATATTTGCCCCTTTTTAGTCTTCTGGCCTAAAGGGTGTTCTGTTGGCAGGGCGGTGGGTCGGGGGCCCTCAGTGGCAAACCAGAGTCACAAGCGCTGAGCAGAAGTGTTTTATCCTTTTCACATATGAGTTTCTTTTTGGTTTTATCAGACCCCGTGTGAACTGCTCCAGCCCTGGGGTGAATTCCCCCCCAGGATCCTAACCAACTCCTGGTTACAGCTCCTTACTAGGGGTGGGCTCCGAGGTTGGCAGCGTTCAAGAAGCTACAAATTTGCTGTTTGGCAACTCGGTTTTTATTCATTGCTGGCTCTGAAGCAGCGAGCGACAGGCAGCTGGTTGCTCAGCGGGGCAGGGCAGAAGGAGACCCTCAGAGCAGTTACTCGATTGGAAATCACTTGCGGATCCTTTGCTAGATTCCCTTCCTTTGAACTAGTTCCCAAGGCTCTGTTCAGACCGGGCCGGGACTGCCTTGGGGGGATGAAGATGGAGAAGATGGGATGGTGTAGACGGAGCTTGGTCCTGCCTTGAGGGCGGGGGGCTGGACTCAATGACCTCTTGAGGTACCTTCCAGTCCTATTATTCTATGATATGATTCTAAGAGGCCCAGTGAGTACAGGGCAGACAGAAGGTTTCATACAACTCAGCAGGTCAGGAAATGACGAGGATCTCCCCTAAACAACCACTCAACGGGCTGACATGGGGGGAGAGCTACAAACCACCGGGCCTCCTTAAGGTTTGGCTCGACTGAGGTTCTCACCTCTCCCGGACTGGATGCCACAAATGACATCCAGTCCATCCAGTGAGAAGACTTGGCAGCCCGGGCCCATGTCTGACCCTGGGGAAAAGTCTGAGATGGGATTGCCAGGGAATCGAACAGCAATGGGATTGAAACTGGCTCCTAACTCCCCTAGGCTCCCGGGCATTGTGCTCCTCGGTTGGGCACTGAAGTGTGGGGGGTTCAGCTTGGGGCGGTGGATTAGCCTTAGCTGTTTTGCAAAGCAGGCCATATATCTGGGCCAAACTTAAGGACAGAAGGGTACGTCTACACTAGCCCTCTACTTTGAACTAGGGAGGCGAATGAGGGTGACTGAAATTGCAAATGAAGAGCAGGATTTAAATATCCCGTGCTTCCGCAAATGAAGGTGACCGAAAATGCAAATGAAGAGCAGGATTTAAATATCCCGTGCTTCATTTGCATGTTCCCAGCTGGTCGCCATTTTGGAAATAGACTAGCCCGGAAGAACGGCCCGTGTCTACACATGGCAGAGAAGGGCGATTCCAAAATAAACCCCTTACTTCAAATTACCAGTTAAACCTCATTGTTGTTTTTTCCCATCCAATATCACATTTTCAATACTAACCTTTGTCAAAAATTCAAAATTTAGAAAATTTCAACTTATTCAACAAGTGGTTAAAAAAATCTGAAAATTTGTAGGATGTTGGGGGAGGGAGATGAAAAATCTACTTTTGGAAGTACCGAAAGAGACAGAGCTCCGGGTCTAGGTTGCGATTCCTAGTTGGACTAAGGGTTGCAGCCTCCTCATCATTTCCTGAATCCAAGGGATGAAGGTGGAGACTTTGACGTACACTCTGGGGGGCTTCCCAGAGGGAGATCCCCAGGAGACGATGCCCTGGGCTACTTCATCGCACACCAAGGGCCCCCCGGAGTCGCCCTGCAACACAGAACAAGCCACTGATGGAGAATGGATCAGCCAGTCGTGTTCTTCAAGCACTGAGGAGCACTTCAGGGATGCCACCCCCTGTCCCTGCTGTCTTCACATGGATCCCCCACATCCTAGTCTGTCTCAATAGCATCCCAACCCTTCATGCAACCATACAATCCTAGAGTTGGCAGAGACCTCAGGAGGCCATCGAGGGGGAAGGACCCAACAACTACTCCAGGCAGGGCTTGGTCAAGCAGGGACTTCAACACCTCTAGGAATGGACATTCCACCTTCTCCCTAGGAAACCCATCCCAGTGATTCACCATCCTCCCCGGGAAATAGTTTTTCCTAATTTCCAACCTAGATGATGGAGAATGGATCAGCCAGTCGTGTTCTTCAAGCACTGAGGAGCATGCTGCCCCCTGCCCCTGCTGTCTTCACATGGATCCCCCACATCCTAGTCTGTCTCAATAGCATCCCAACCCTTCATGCAACCATACAATCCTAGAGTTGGCAGAGACCTCAGGAGCTACTTCATCGCACACCAAGGGCCCCCCGGAGTCGCCCTGCAACACAGAACAAGCCACTGATGGAGAATGGATCAGCCAGTCGTGTTCTTCAAGCACTGAGGAGCACTTCAGGGATGCCACCCCCTGTCCCTGCTGTCTTCACATGGATCCCCCACATCCTAGTCTGTCTCAATAGCATCCCAACCCTTCATGCAACCATACAATCCTAGAGTTGGCAGAGACCTCAGGAGGCCATCGAGGGGGAAGGACCGGACACAACTACTCCAGGCAGGGCTTGGTCAAGCAGGGACTTCAACACCTCTAGGAATGGACATTCCACCTTCTCCCTAGGAAACCCATCCCAGTGATTCCTTCAGGGATGCCACCCCCTGTCCCTGCTGTCTTCACATGGATCCCCCACATCCTAGTCTGTCTCAATAGCATCCCAACCCTTCATGCAACCATACAATCCTAGAGTTGGCAGAGACCTCAGGAGGCCATCGAGGGGGAAGGACCGGACACAACTACTCCAGGCAGGGCTTGGTCAAGCAGGGACTTCAACACCTCTAGGAATGGACATTCCACCTTCTCCCTAGGAAACCCATCCCAGTGATTCACCATCCTCCCCGGGAAATAGTTTTTCCTAATTTCCAACCTAGACCTCAGCCACTGCAATGTGAGCCCATTGCTCCTCCATCTGCCACCTGCCCCCACTGAGAACAGCCTTTCTCCCTCCTCTTTGGAACCCCCTTCAGGTAGTTGAAGGCTGCTCTCAAATCCCCCCTCACTCTTCTCTTCTGCAGACTAAACAATAGGAAACCCAGATCCCTCAGCTTCTCCTCGTAGGTCATATGCGCCAGCCCCCAGCTGGTCTCTCCCTCCCTGGCAAGAAGAAAGCTATTGTCAATTCATTTGTACAGCACCTAGCGCAGTGGAAACTGATCCCGGATTTTCCTCTTGGACCCAATGGCAGCAGAAAGACCCTCACTAGTAATAACAGTGTATCAAGGTGGCGGGTAAGTTTTACCTTAAAAGAGGCCTGGGGCTTCTTTGGGTCCCCCACACACATCATGGTGGTGGAGTTGTATTTGTGATTTTTCACTTCAGGAATACGCTGACACTCCGAATCATCCTGCACCGTCAAATTCACCTCCTGGAGCATCTCTGAGCCCCCTTTTCTATTTGCTCGTGTCCGGCCCCAGCCAGCGACGCTGCACACGGTCCCGGGCTCCACTTGCTGGTTGGCAGGGGGCAAGCGGAGGAGTCCGACTTCGCTGTTGAGGTGTGCGGGTTTCTGCAGCTATGGAAAAGCAAGAGCAAAAGCACCAGGATCAATATGAAGCTTGAAGGTAATAGGAGAGACAAAATCCAAGGAGAGACAAGTTACAGCTAATGCACGGCCATGCAGCAGTCCGAGATCAGAGGGGATGGGGCTATGGCTACGTGCAGCCGGGTGAGGTCACTGGGGGCGGGGGATGGGATGGGGGCGGTACCTGCAGCAGTGTGAGGTCACTGGGGGTGGGGGATGGGATAGGGATGGTACCTGCAGCAGCATGATGTCATTGTTTCCAGTCTCACTATTGTGTTGCCGGTGGCGGATCTGCCGTCGCACGGGGATCACTTGTTGGCTTGATTCTTGTTGTTTGACGTTCTGGGCTCCCAGGATAACAGTGATGCTGCTGTAAAAACCAAGAGCAGCACTTGGGGCATTAGGGGCAGGGGTTGGACACATGTTGGTTTGGCTCATCCATTCTGATCGTGGGGTTAGGGGTGGGGGCAGGGCAGTCTGGGACTCAGATCCCTTCATTCCCCTCACCCCCTGCAGAGCTGCCCTAGGGCTGTGAGCCCCTCCCTACCTTACTTTGCACAATGGGGCAGACCCCAGGTTGGGTCACTGACTTACCCAGTGCTGAGTCTGGGCTGTAATTTGCAGAGGTCTCTGGAGACTCATCGACCCGTGAAGCTGATCAGATACCTTGGCCCTACTCTCCCAGCCTGTCCAGCTCCGTGCCTCAGAGCTCCCGGTTCTCCCTGTCCCCCGACCTGCCCCCACATCCCCATCCCAGAGGCACTTACTCTCCCTTGCAGTGAGCAGCCGTCAGCACGAAGTTTCTTGTCACCAGGAACCCTCCACAGTGCACGTTCTTTATTCCACGTTGTATGTTCAGATAGGCCATGTAAGGTCTGGAGTGGGGCTTGGCTTCATGCCCCCCGATGATCTCACCTGTGGGGAGACCAGGGTCACACAAAAAGCCACATCCTCTTGCTGTGATGGGAGCAAGTTTCCCATTCTGAAATAAAGTCCGTACAACCTTAACCTTCACCTTAACTGTTATCCTTAAGCATAACCTTAACCCTCCAATGCTGTCCATGGGGGATACTTGTGTCTGGAAACCTGCTCTCTCATCAGCTCTGCCACACCTTGGACATGACATGGGGCCAGAGGGTAAATTTACAGCTCTCACCAGGCTGGGGGTAGAATCGGTGCCCAACGCAAGAGGAGCAGGGCAGTAATCATAATGACTTGTGTTAATATCTTTGGGGACCAACTTCCACCAGAAGGGGACCATTACATCCCCTGTTGTTTTTTTGTCTTCTCCCTCAACCCCCAGTGACAATCAGGGCTGCTCTAAACTCAACCGCACAAACTACTTTTTGGAACTAACGAACGAAAGAAAGAAACTGATCCTGCAGCTCCAATTGATCGGTACTGGAGAGCTGTGTGTGGCGGGTGGGTCTGGGGCCTGTTGTGGATGTGCGGTGGGGAAGGTCATGGAGCCACTGCTATGTATGCCAGGTACTTACAGGGGTAGGGGTTAGGGTAGAAGGCGGCCTGCCTTCAGTCTGCTGCTTGCTGTCCCACTGCTCCCAGGGTTGGTGGGACTTGAATCCACCACCCTGCACTCCCCAGGGAAGTGCCCTATCCCACTCCAGAAAGAAAGAAAGAAAATGGGATTTTCTACACCATGAAACATTTCCCAGAAAGCATCTCTTTACCTCCCACGTTTTGGCTTTTTGCTTGGGAAAATGATTTTGAAAAGTGCTAGTTTGGAGCAGTTTTCAGCAGAAAATGTGTGGTCATCATAACCGTTTTCCTTTTGGTCATTCTGGAGCAGAAGGAGGGGTGAGGTGGGCACTGGGTACACCCAGAGCCTAGGGGGCCTCAGAAAATCTAATAGCCCTGGGCCCTCAGAATCCGACCCTTTTCCGCAATCCTACTTGAGATCCTCCGTGTGTCTCTGCTGCTCTCAGCATCTCTCTCTCAGGGGCTCTATGTTGTTTCTAGCTCTACCACCCAGGCTCCCTCACCCCCACCTTCAAACCCTCCCCTAGCTGGATTCCAGGAACCACCCATCACCCTGGCAGAAACATCTGACTCTGGGGAGGAGCCAGAATTTGCAGACAGCCCAGAGAGCTCCTTGCTGTGTTCCCCACAAACGCTGATCCCCCCACACTCACCAGCCCCAACCCCAGGGAGCAGGAGAAAAGCCACGGGCACCACGATCAGGAACAGCATCGTCACCGTCTGTGGAAAGCAACAGGGCTGGTGTCTCAGCCCTGGGGGATTTATAGACCGAGCAGCAAACCGCAAGTCACATGCGCTCTGCTCACATTGGGCATGGAGACCTCACAAACTAGAAGCAAACCGCAAATCACGTGCGCTCTGCTCACATGGGGCACGAGGACCTCACAAGGACTCTTAGAAAGCTCAGCATGGGCTTGCTGTCACGTTGGAAGAGGGAGAGCAGGGCAGATCCTTTTTGGACAAAGCATCCTCCATTCCTTGGCGCCTGCCTGGACCCCATTCACTCTTCTGCAGCTCACCCATCTCCTCTCCTCCAGCAGCACATCTGGTGGAGAACGCGGGCGATGCTGAGTCACCCGCTGGCTTGGCTGGGCTCCCTACTTCCTCCCCAGAGCGTGTCTCACAGCTGCAAGCAGGGGACGGGGACTCTCCTGGGGGTTCCTGGATCCCGGCCATGAAGCCCAGGGCAGAAATTCTCCCAGAGGGTGGGGAGCACGTCACCCATAAAGCGCTGCACCTGGGGGAGCACAGTTGCCTGGGTGATGGGGCAGGCCCTATGTGGACAGTGCTGGAGCAGTGCACCTGGGGGAGCACAGTTGCCGTGGTGATGGGTGATGGGGCAGGCCCTATGTGGACTTCTGGGTCTGCCCCATGGCTGGCACAGCTCAGCACAGAACAAACACACAATGGGCTGAGCGCTTGGAAACCAGACCCTGCCTCTCCAGATCGTCAACTCTCTCACATACCCACAATTCTGGGCCCCAGAAAACCGCTTAAAATCACCGTGAAGCCCTGGCCCAATTTCTCCACCAAGATCTGAGCCCCCTGACATGGCTGCATGTTTTTTATCCATCTGCAGTGTTGGGACTCAAGGGGTCACTTGCAAATCTCGGGTTTCCTTATGGTAAAATAGCGTGTTTGGATCCCTCCAGGCTGTGGGGCAGACGTTGAAGACCTGACCCCAATTGCATAAAGCACCGTAGCCTTCTCCTCCCCCGTCCTACTCCCTTGGGGTGCCTCTGTACCCCTAGAATGGCAACCACAGAGCATGAGAACCTCCAGTCTCTCCCATGGGGTATTCTCCAACTCTACCGCACGTGGCATCTTCATGGCTCATACAAGGCTTATATCTGGTCCCGGGTGGATGGGACACGTGGCATCTTCATGGCTCATAGAATCATAGAATCATAGAATAATAGGACTGGAAGGGACCTCAAGACATATAAGGCTTATATCTGGTCCCGGGTGGATGGGGGTAGAGGGGTGTTACTTGTGGGGCAAGAAACCTCATATAAGTGTATCTGGTCATTATTCACTTTTTGGTGACCATGCAAACAAACCCCACATTAAATACGTCAGTATGGTCATGCAATGGGTTACTTGTCCCACTGCTGACCTGCGAAGGAGAACAACGCTTTCCTGGATCTTTCTTTTGCTCCTCACGCATTTCAAGACCCTCTTGACACTTTCCTTTTCTTTTGCTCCTCACGCATTTCAAGACCCTCTTCTCATTGCCTTTTCTGTCCCTTAGTTGATGAGCCTCATTTTGTGCCCTCGTCGGTCTCATTTTGTTCCTGTGATCTTGCCCTAGGCTTCTGTACTCCCCTGATGGGCCACTATCAATATATTTCCCTGCACCTCCGCAGGTATGGGGGTTTGCAACTCCCATTGGCCAGGAATGGTGATTTGCAACCAATGAGAGGCACAGTTAAATATGGTCATGTGGAGACCCACCAGGGGCTAACCCTGCATCTGCAACCAATGCGAGGCGCAGCTAAATACAGTCATGTGGAGACCCACCAGGAGCTAACCCTGCCAGACCCAATCTAGCCCCTGGGCTGATGTTGGCTCAGCTCTTGGCTAGTATATCCTAAACATTTATGCCCCTGAACTTCTAGAAAATATTCCTAAACAAAAATCTTTGTTGTGGTACGGCCCATGCAAAACTGGTCTTTATGACTTCCTCAGGGCCTATGTTTCTTCAGCTAATCAGGGTGGAGGGTTATTTTAGAAGAGGTGTCTCCGTTTTGTAAATAATAAAGTTTCCCCTTGAATGTTTTTTTAAAAATACCCGTTTTTGGTATCAGCTGCATTTTTAATGCCCTCCGATATAAAAACTGCTCCTGCCGGTTCTTTCGAACTTTTATTGTCCACGATGAGGAAAAGGACATGCTGGAAAAAGTTAACAGCTAGTGTCATGTTGTGGTGTGCGGCCTTGCAGAAGGGTTGTGTTTTTAGGACTGGGCTCGTTGGGCTATAGCTTTATCTCCAAAGAGGGATCTTTGGTTAAAAAAAAAAAAAAATCTTTACAGAAGTTCTCTTTTGAGCAAGTACAATGTCCGTTGTTAGCAGCTGTGTCTTTGTGTACATGGTTAGCCAAAAAATTAAGAAGTGGGTTTATCTTCAAAACGGTTTGATTTTATCTTTTTTCTTCGCACAGTTGTCTACTAGGTCTGTAAATTTCTTGCTAGATAATTTCTCCCTTTTATAGTAAAATATCTCATTGAATGTTTACTGTATACGAAATCTGTACTAAATGTGAACATACGCTGGGATATACTGTTATTTCTTCACAATTGACATGTCTGGAACAGGGGTTGATCTTGTAAAATTGTGACTGCACTGAATTAAAATTGTTGTGTGTTCTGTAAAACTTGGCAGCCCTGTAGGATTACAGATATTTTTTTATGGAACACCTATACAAATTCCCCTCAATTGACAGCTTGCATATACTACTCATACATTCTGAGTGTTCACTAAAATTTGGCATTGCAATTTACAGCTAAATTTTAAAACTGGACTACTCCTCCTAATGGACAGTTGTTTAAGGCGAGTGTATCTTAAACATGTTTATCTCATCAAACTTCTGGTAAATGCTCCCCAAAATATACTTGTTGTGTTACAGCAGTGTTCATCTTGGAACAGATGTCTTCTATTTTAAAATTATGATGTTTTCCTTTCAATTTTTTTGGAATAAGTAGCTATTTGTTGAATAAGACACCATCTTCGTGTCATGCAATATACAAACATGCTCATATAGGGTACATCTAGGCTACATGCCTCTGGCGACAGAGGCATGTAGATTAGGCTACCCGGCAAAGAAAAATGAAGCAGCAATTTAAATAACTCCTCATCCCAGGAGGCATACCTGGGAGGTCAACAAATGCCTTTGATGTCCACCACAGAGTGTCCTGACTACCGTGCTGAGCCAAACAGCTGATCGGCTCAGCGCAGCAACCATTTAAATTTAAATGAAGCTGCGATTATTTAAATTGCCGCTTCATTTTCCTATGCTGGGTAGCCTAATCTACATGCCTCTTTCACCAGAGGCATGTAGTCTAGACGTACCCATAAGTTGTTGTGCATGTTCCTTGTCAGGGATGGGAAAAGGACTTTTACAGTTGACAAAGTTTAGAGGGTCTGTGTTTTTCAAGTTGAGATTGTTGGTCTTTAGCTTTATCTTAGCAGAGGGGCTTTTGGTAATAGAAGTCGTATAATTGCTCTACAGAAGTTTTCCTTTAGCAAAAGTTGAAAAACAGAGCTAGGGTTTTGCCATGGGAAGGAGGCAGTTTGTGGTTAGCACGTGTATTGTCGTCTTCACTGTTAATCTTGTTTCTTAATTATTTGGTTATCTTACAAACTGTTCGAAGGGAGTTTTATCTATTTCCCTTCCGTAGAAGAACAAAAAAGGGAAGAGGACCTAGTATCTAATTTCTCTCCTTAATTGTAAAAGAACCCTTTAAATGATTTTATATGAAAAGCCGTACGAAATAACTTTTAATGGGTAGTACTGTGATTCCTTCAGAGCTGACATATCTGCAGACAGGTGTGGCTCCTTTAATTTTAATTAGATCATTACGATTAAATCCTACTTGGTAAAATCTGGCAGCCCTTTAGACCAACCGCTATTTTTTTCAACTGACACACAGATGCAAGCTCCTCTGAGTGGTGACCGTTTTCATGTTCTCCTCGCTTGTTCTTCACAAACCTGTTGAACGCTTAGGCTAGTGCAGAGGCGGGCACTAGAGGTGGACTCTGGCGGCAGGTATGGACTCTTGCAGCTCCCATTGGCCGGGAAGGATCTCCTGGTTCATCAGTTCTGGTTCCTGATGGTTTTCCTGTCCCCTGACTCCGGGACTGTCTCCTCCAGCTATGCGTTCCTTTCTTCCCCTAATCGCTCCAATGGGCAGACACTGGACATCAACTGGGTTTGATGCTTCCTTCCACAGTGCTGAGGACCCCAATTTACTTGTTTATGTGTCTGGAGATGGAGCAAGAATCCTCCCTGCACAACTCCATGAAGCTCTCACAGAGGAACTCTTTCATCCTTCTCACAAAGTTTCTGGGGAGGCCTTTCTGCCTCCTCCCTCCATCGTACGACACCTTGCCATGCCAAGCCAACAGTATGTGGTCTGGCAACACTGGAGTACAAAGCATATCAGTGAAAGTCTCAAGTGGGCAGAGTCACCAGTGGGTTTTGTGCCAGATGGACAGCAACCAGAGCCAGGGCAGTGCCCGTCAACCTTGCTGCTGTTCCCACTATGTTGAAAAGTGATGAGCTAACGTTTCAAGAAGTACGTCGTGGTGGGTAAAAGTGAATCTGCTAACAGAGAATGAAGGCCTTTCTACAGACAACAGGGATGTGTTCTGCGCAAAGCTACCAGTATGCTTTTAAGCGACCACCATGCAGCAGGAACAACCCAGAGTTCTCAGGGGAGCAGCTGGACTTTGTTTCTAGGCAGCCACATTATTGGACAGGCTGGGGCATGAGCCTGTGGGTGGGATGGGGGACAGAGTCCAGACATGGCCCACCAGAAGTGCCTGTGCCAGGTTAAATGCACGACTGAGAGACATTCTGAGAGGAGAGGACTGTCTTCAGAAGAATGAAAAGTTCTTGGCTCTTGGCAACATAGGTTGCCCGGTTGACTATTGACTGCCGAGGCTGTCAGTGAGTCCTTGGAAGAATCTGCCGCCTGGCCTTGGAAGCTTATTGGGTCCCCCCCTAGGATCCCACACAGGTGGTCACAGAAGTGGCACATTTGCGATGATGCTCCTGACCATACGTGTGCCTCCTTTGCTTTCCGGTAGGTCTGCCTCACCACATTTGTTTTAATGCAGCATTGTTCACCATCCCGGGCATATCCTTTCTCCTCCATGCTCTTTGCAATCTTGTCATAGATATCTTGTCATAGATATCAGTGTTTCTTTTACTGCTTTGTTCATAGTACTGTAAGAACAGATTCCTGTCCTTCCCTTCCCCCCCTAGCTCTGGAAGAACAGTTTCCTCTTCCCACACAATGATGAGGTCCAAGATCTCCTGCATGCTTGATTATTTACAAAAAGGAGACATCTTTTGTAAGATAAACAGACACCCCGGCTGTCGGAAGAAAAACAGGCCCTAAGGAGCCACAAAGAACAGGACTGAATAAGCTGCGTCTCTTATTTAGGAGTACTTTGTAGATGTTCAGTGACATAAATATGTTTACGATACACTAGCCAAGGGCTGAGGGAATCCCAGGCAGTAGGCTGGATTCTGTCTGCCAGGGTTAGCCCCAGCAGGAGGGGCTAACATGGCCTTATTTACTTGTGCCTCCACCGGCATAGGGTATCTCCGCTCCCATTAGGAGACAGACTAGGGCACAACATGAGTTTCACCTACTAAGGAACAGAAAAGGAAACGAGAGGAGGGTCTTCAAATGCGTTAGGAGCAAGAGAAAGATACAGAACAGTGTCAGCCCACTGACAAAAGGGGAACAAATAACCCATCACATGACAATACTGAGGTGTTCAGTGTGGGGTTTTCTTCCATGGTTGCTAAAAGCTGAAGACTGACAAGATACATGCCACACTTATATGAGGTTTCTTGTCCCCATATAGATGGGGCTGCAACCCCCAGGACCAGGCCACCTCCTATGAGACTTGAAGATGCCATTTGTAGGGGGGTTGGAGAATACCCTATGGCTACATCTACATTGGCATAATCTTGCTCAAATACTCTTTAATTAAGAATTCTGGCGTTAAAGTATTTGCGCAAGAGAGCGTCTACACTGGCATGTGCCTTTGAGCAAGAGATGTGCTTTTGCTCAAGAGCATCTGTGCCGGTGTAGATGACCTCTTGTGCAAGAAAGCTCCAATGTCCATTTTAGCCATCGGGCTTTCTTGCAAAAGAAATTCATGTTGCCTGTCTACACTGGCCTCTTGCGCAAGAACAGTTGCGCAAGAGGGCTTCTTCCTGAGCGGGAGCATCATAGTCCTTGCTCAAGAAGCACTGATTTCACACATTAGAACGTCAGTGTTCTTGGGCAAGATCTCGCGGCCAGTGTAGACAGGCAGCATGTTTTTCTGCAAAAGGGGCCGCTTGGGTGCAAGATCGTGCCAATGTAGACACAGCCTATGGGAGAGACGGGGTTGGGGGGGGGGGTCTCATGCTCTGTGGTTGCTGTCCAAGGTACTGGGGCGGCCCAAGGGACTGGGACAGGGAGAAGGCTACAGAGCTTTACACATTTAGGTCTTGGGTCTTCAACTTTTGCCTCACAGCCTCGGGGGCCCCAAACACGGCATTTTACCCCAAGAAAAGCTGAGATTTGCACCAAGTCCCTTGAGCCCAGCACTGCATCTTTATGAAAAATACCGAGTCATTTCTGGGGCTAGGGACTGGATGAAGAAATAGGGCCAGAGCCGAGGGGTGATTTTAAGTGGCTTTATGGCAGCCAGAATTGTAGCTATGTGAGCGATTCGACAATCTGGACAGCCAGGGTCCGGTTTCTAAGCACTCAGCCTGTACCGTGGGGATGTCTGCTCTGTATTTAGCTCTGCCAGCCATGGGGCAAGCTCAGAGGAACATGGCTCTACCCTGTCTACTTAGAGCTTTTTCCATCACCCATCACCATGGTATCTGTGCTCCCCACCCATGGAGAGAATTTTTGGTCAGGGCTTTGTGGCCGGGCTCCAGGAATTCCCAGAAGAGTCCCTGTCCCCTGCTCACTGCTGAGAGACAGGCACTGGGGAGGAAGCAGGGAACCCAGCCAAACCAGCAGGTGACTCAGCATCGCCCGCGTTCTCCACCAGATGTGCTGCTGGAGCGGAGATGGGTGAGCTGCAAGTGAGCCAGATGCCAGTTATGCAGGATCTAAGGAATGAGAGGTCGGAGGAGAAGGATGCTCTGTACAAAAGGGACCTACCCTGGGCTCCTTCCTCTAGTGAGAGGTTGTTCTCCACCCATCAGCTCTCCCTTTTGTCTCCCCCTGCAAGTGACAGCAACATGACACTGAGGTTTCTGTGAGAACCAGCATTGTGTCAGCTCCCCACGTGATGTCCAGTTTGCAGCTGGCTCTATAAATCCCCCAGAGCTGAGACACCAGCCCTGTCGCTTTCCTCAGACGGTGACGATGCTGCTCCTGATCCTGCTGCTCGTGGCTTTTCTCCTGCCCCCCGGGGCTGGGGCTGGTGAGTGGGGGAAAACTGAACTGTGGGATTGGTCTCACAGGGTGACATGCCCCATGACAGGGCCTGTACCCCGTAACAGCCCCATGTTCATATCCTGCTCCTTGAGTCACTCTGACCAGCCCTCTCCTTTTCCTGTACCCCATCTTTTACAGCCCATTCTCAGGCCAGCTTTGCCCCAGCATGTACTGCTGGTTCACTGTGAGCCCCCCAAGATCCTGCATAGGGCCCCAGTTCTCCCTGCTGCCTTGGCTCTGGGGAGGGGGCCCTGTGCGTTGGGCTGGACTGGAGAAGGCTGATCGCCTGAATTCATACCCTGGGGTGTGGCTGGGCTCAGTTCACCAAGCCCCTCAGCCACCAAAACCAGAAAATTGTCCCTTATTCCCCACACGTGAGGGAAAGAACCAGGTTGCAGAAGAAATAAATCCAGCCAAGCTGAAGGGCAGAATTGCTCCCTGGGGTCAGATTCCTTCAGTCAAAGCCACTTCCCCTGGCACCGGTATTTTGGTGAGATCAGTGAGGAGCAGCCCAGCCTGGTCCCTGTGGGTGGGTGGAGAAGCAGCTACAGAGGCCCCTGCAGGGGACGGGCTGGACCAGACTGGGGTGACTTTGGCCCACAGAGCTGTGAACATGAGGCTGAGCAATCACTGCCCCTAAATTTCAGAGAGATCAGTGAGGAGCAGCCCCGCCTGGTCCCCGTGGGTGGGTGGAGAAGCAGCTACAGAAGCCCCTGCAGGGGACGGGCTGGACCAGACTGGGGTGACTTTGGCCCACAGAGCTGTGAACATGAGGCTGAGCAATCACTGCCCCTACTCTGGGTCCGTTTGGTACCAATTCCCCACCCAGCCAGATGAGATCTTCTGATTTGCCTGCCAGCCCCACGTGGGGCAGAGCAGAGTAGGGAGCAGCAATCCTGGCACAGGGATCCCGCGGGGAGAGAATCATGGGGGTGGGAGGAGGCTGTGGGGACTCCCTTTTGAGATGGGGAGCTCAGTCCCCACCCAGAGAGGGGATGGGCTCTTGAATGAACTTGGTCTCCCCCCAGGTGAGATCTACGGGGGATGGGAAGCCCGGCCCCACTCCAGACCCTACATGGCCTATCTGGAAATAGAACGGGGAGATGAGATAGCTCGCTGTGGTGGGTCCCTGGTGGCGGAGAACTTCGTGCTGACAGCCGCTCACTGCTAGGGAGAGTAAGTGCCTCTGGGCTGGGATATGGGGTCATCAGGGGACAGGGGAGCTCTGGTGCTGTCATGCGGGATAGGGGGTGGCCAGGCTGCGGGAGCAGAGCCCAGGGGTCTGACCTGCTCTGGGGGTGTCGGTGAGTCTCTACGGTCCTCTGCAACCCACGGCCCAGCCCCAGCGCTGAGTAAATCAATGGGGCTACGGACCGTGAGCCCAGCTGGCGTCAGGACCACTGCCCAGTGTGGGGCAGGGAGGGGTCACAGCCCCAGGGCATCTCTGCAGGGTGCTGGGCTGGGAGGCTGGGTATGGACCACTGCCTGGATCCAGAAGGCCCAAAACAATGAATGAAGGAGTTCAAGGAATACCTTGAGAGGCTGGTGGTCACCAGTAGGGACCTAGCACCATTGGGCAAGGATTATGCCCAGCTGAAGCAGTCAGCCCCTCGCACTGCCCCCCAACGCAACATTTACCAGTGACACCCACAGACGCTGTGCCCCTACCTCCTGTACATGACTGTCCCTAACGGGCCGTGTATTGCACCTGCTTTTACAGAGCGATCACTGTGTTCCTGGGAGCCCACAACATAGACAAACTAATAGACTTGAGACGACAAAAGATCAAAGTATCGAAAATGTTCCCGCATGAAAAATACAGGAACAGAACCGTGATTAATGACATCATGCTGCTCAAGGTACCACCCCCATCCCATCCCCCGCCCCCAGTGACCTCCCACTGCTGCAGGTACCGCCCTCATCCCATCCCCCACCGCCAGAGACCTCACACTGCTGCAGGTACTGCCCCCATCCCATCCCCCACCCCCAGTGACCTCCCACTGCTGCAGGTACCGCCCTCATCCCATCCCCCACCGCCAGAGACCTCACACTGCTGCAGGTACTGCCCCCATCCCATCCCCCACCCCCAGTGACCTCCCACTGCTGCAGGTACCGCCCCATCCCATCCCCCACCCCCAGTGACCTCACACTGCTGCACATACCACACCATCCGTATGCTGCCTTTCCCAAGGGGTTTCGGGTGCTGCTGGGGATGGTGTACATTCCTTTCCCCGTCAGTGCAACCATTCTCTTGTTCTTCCTCACTGCTGTGTCCCAGCTGGCTCGTCCTGCAAAGCTGAATGAACATGTGAAAACCATCCCCATGGCCGGTCCCTTTGAGAATTTACCGCGTGGTACCAATTGCAGTATTGCTGGATGGGGATGCACCGTTCCAGGGGACAACTCCTCTGTGGTGAGCAGGCTCCGGGAGGTGGATGTGGAGGTGCTGGATGATGATAAATGCACGTCTGCATTCTACTTCCCCATGTTAATGCTGTGTGCGGGCCGTCCACAGGAAGGCAAGGATGCAGCACAGGTACCTCTGCTCTTTGCAAATCCTTCTTATGCACGAGTGTGTCCATATTTGTGCCGTTACGGTGAGAAATCAGGGCTGGGGGGAGGGAGAGTGCCGTGTCACCGGGCATTCATCGGGGGGCAGGGGGCCGATTCACTGAGCTCTGCTCCATCGGTGGCATGTTTTGTTCTGCAGGGTGACTCCGGCAGCCCCCTCGTGTGTAAGGATAAAGTTCACAGGGGGCCGATTCACTGAGCTCTGCTCCATCGGTGGCATGTTTTGTTCTGCAGGGTGACTCCGGCAGCCCCCTCGTGTGTAAGGATAAAGTTCAGGGGGTTGTCTCTAAGGGATCTACATCTGGGACCCTCCCCGGCACGTATACGAGTGTCTCCTTCTACAACGACTGGATCAAGGACACCATGAGGAGAGCGTAGCTTTGAGCCTGCCAGGACCCACTGCCTAGACCAGCCCTGCGCCGCTTCAGTCCTTTGTAGAGGCCCAGATGTAGGGCCTGCTTTGCAGTGGGGCTGAGTCCCCACACTCCCTCTTGAGTCTCCTATCCCACCCTTCAAGATAGAGTCCCCTCCCCCAGCTCCAAGGCAGGAGAGTTAGGAGCCAGGTTCAGGGCTGGCTGCTTCTTTGGTTGGGAACACCTGGGTCATGTCAGTTAGAAGCCAAAGCTTGAGGTGGACCCATTGGGTTATTGCTCTCCCCAGGGTGGGCCCATCGAGTGCCAGCTTGGGGGAGATCCTCCCCATAACGTCCACCTGCACGTTCCTGCTGGATCTGACCCCGACCCTGACCTCTCACGGTTCGGTTCCTGTATTTTTCATGCGGGAACATTTTCGATACTTTGATCTTTTGTCGTCTCAAGTCTATTAGTTTGTCTATGTTGTGGGCTCCCAGGAAAACAGTGATCCCTCTGTAAAAGCAGGTGCAATACACGGCCCGTTAGGGACAGTCATGTACAGGAGGTAGGGGCACAGCATCTGTGGGTGTCACTGGTAAATGCTGCTTTGGGGGGCAGTGCGGGGGGCTGACTGCTTCAGCTGGGCATAATCCTTGCCCAATGGTGCTAGGTCCCTACTGGTGACCACCAGCCTCTCAAGGTATTCCTTGAACTCCTTCATTCATTGTTTTGGGCCTTCTGGATCCAGGCAGTGGTCCATACCCAGCCTCCCAGCCCAGCACCCTGCAGAGATGCCCTGGGGCTGTGACCCCTCCCTGCCCCACACTGGGCAAGGGGTCAGACCCCAGCTGGGCTCACTGGCCTCACCCCCATTGATTTCCCCAGCGCTGGGGCTGGGCCGTGGGTTGCAGAGGCTCCTAGAAACTCGCTGACACCTCCTGAGCAGATCAAACCCCTGGGCTCTGCTCCCCAGCCTGGCCAACCCCTGCCCCTCCGCTGCTCACCCATGGTGGTACCAGAGCTTCCAGATCCTGATCCCCCATTGATCCCACCTACCCTCACGTCCCAGCCCAGAGGCACTTACTCTCCCTAGCAGTGAGCGGCTGTCAGCACGAAGTTCTCCGCCACCAGGGACCCACCACAGCGAGCTATCTCATCTCCCCGTTCTATTTCCAGATAGGCCATGTAGGGTCTGGAGTGGGGCCGGGCTTCCCATCCCCCGTAGTCCGCCAGTGTAGACAGCTGGCATGTTTTTCCGCAAAATCATCTGATTTTGCAGAAAAACTTGCCAGTCTAGACACAGCCAGGGTGGGAAAGGCAGTGGAGTGGGAGGGAGAGCAGGCAGTGAGGAAGGACCTGCTCAAGGAAGGGGGGGGTAGCTAGATGCTGGGGGAGGACCCAGCAGAGTGGCAGGACCCAGCAGAGCAAAGGGAGGCAAACAGTGGGGCCAAGAATGGAAAAGGTCACTGCAGCAGCTGAGGCTGGGGAGGAACAGCAGCCGTGATGGTGACCGTAGCAATCACAGCACCCCACATACTGGGCCCTCTGTGTTCGGACGCTAAAAGCTGGTGTGGTGCCATGACTCTCCCTCGGCACCCGGAACGGTGGGAAAGCTTTGTTGTCTCTCTCTGTTATTTGTGGACGTAGTACTAACCTTTAAGGCTAACCCCGGGCCATAGCACTTCCCCATTCCTCCAAGCTGTTTCCAGGCATGGTGTTCGGTCGTACTGGGGCAGGTGCCAGAAACCCCTGTGAGCGGGAGGATTTTGGTCCAGCATCTCGCAACCAAATAAGGAGGAGGAGGGATAAATGCGAGCAGGCAAACTCTTGATTCATTGACCCGCCGAAGAAAATAGTGTGAGCAGGCGAACTCTCGGCTTGGTGTCTTACAGAGACTTTCAAAACGCGCGCGGAAAATTCCGTCTACAAGAATTCCAGTGCCCTGGTCTTCCCTAGTATAGGAGCCTCATGAAGTCTGATATTAAGTGATGGGTGTCTTAGGGCAGCACCACTTAATAGAAACCCCTGGGAACTGGACAATAAAGAAAGATGCATCTAAAGGTGGAAACTGTAGAAAAAAAGGGTGTGTGGAAAAGGAGTATGAATGTAATGAGTGACGTATGAATGCCGCTGCATAGCTCTGAGACTTAAGCTGATCCCAGCTGCACCAGGGCTCTCCCACGAGGGAGTTCTGAATGCAAAGGGGGAGGGGTCAGCTGAACCTCGAAACTCAGCGGATATGTGAGGGAGTGACGACTCCCCTTATTTCACGAGCTGCTAAGGTCTGACACTCGAAACCGGGCAGACTCAAAAATCCGCCCTGCCGTGAGAAATGTAACTTACAAGCAGCTACAGCCAAACAACGCACAAGAAGTGGGGGAAGAAAAAGAAAAAAAAGGATTTCTCAGTTGGCACACCCGTATCAACCAAGCTTAGGGGAGGGAATTCAGCACATCACCCCTCTTCCCCTCTTCATGACGCATACACAGAGAGAGAGGAAACACGGAAAGTAGCTGAAAGGAGTTAGCTCTTCCCTTTGAAAACACGGGCTCCTGTAACACACTTGCCCAACCCAAAGCAAAACACCAAGTTTAGAATAAGTTTACCAGTTTACGGGAAGTGTTCCTCCAAATTCTAAAGAAAAGCAATTAAGCAATATTGTAACGTGTAAGGAGGAAAACATGATTTCAAATGACTCCTTGTTTCTTGCAGCCTCCTTTAATCATCTAGGCAAACGAAACCCCCCACACAATCCAATTTAAACATTTGGCTACAGACTGTTAAACCTACTAAAGAGAAATAAGAACTTCTACTGAAACTTAAGTGGTTAACTGCATAAAAGAATAAAATGGATACATTGTACATTTGTAAAAGCTGCACCCCAAGGGTTAAATTTGCCTTCCAAGGAAACAAATTATTCTTTTAAAAATCCAAGCCCAGAAACTTCACTGCGTCTTTGTTCAAGGCTAAGCTGATAGCACTTTTGGCTTGCTTTCAGATCCAAGGTTCTGTGTGTCTGCAAACTGCCCGTCTGTTCTGGAAGGAGAGAGGAGGGGCCACAACTCCCCAGGACCAAGCACCATTAGATTATCCCTGACAAGTGTCTATTCAACTTGCTCTTAAATATCTTCAGGGGTAGAGATTCCACAACCGCACTAGGAAATTTGTTCCAGTGTTTAACCACCTGGACAATTAGGAAGTGTTTCCTAATGTCCAACCTAAACCTCCCTTGCTGCACTTTAAGCCCATTGCTTCTTGTCCTGATCTCAGAGGCTCAAGAGAACCATTTTTTTCCCTCCGCCTTCTAACAACCTGTTAGGTACTTGAAAACTGCTCTCATGTCCCCTCTCAGTCTTCTTTTCCAAACTAAACAAGCCCAAATCTTTGGCTACGTCTACACTGGCATGATTTTCCGGAAATGCTTTTAACGGAAAAGTTTTCCATTAAAGAATTTTCAGAAAAGCACGTCTAGATTGGCAGGACGCTTTTCCGCAAAATCACTTTTTGCGGAAAAGCATCTGTGGCCAATCTAGACGCGGTTTTCCGCAAAAAAGCCCCAATCGCCGTTTTCACAATCGGGGCTCTTTTGCAGAAAACAAATCTCTGCTGTCTACATTGGCCCTTTTGCTCAAAAGTTTTTCGGAAAAAGACTTTTGCCCGAACGGAAGCAGCATAGTATTTCCGCAAAAGCGCTGACAATCTTACATTAGATCGTCAGTGCTTTTGCGGAAATTCAAGCGGCCAGTGTAGAGAGCTGGCAAGTTTTTCCGCAAAAGCAGATGATTTTGTGGAAAAACTTGTCTAGACACAGCCTTTCAGTCTTCCCTCAGCTGTTAGGTACTTGAAAGATGCTATCATGTCTTCTCTCAGTTTTCTCTTTTACAAACGCAACAAGCCCGGTTCTTTCAGTCTTCCCTCATCGCTCATGTTCTCTAGACCTGTCATCATTCTTGTTGCTCTTCTCTGGACCTTCTCCCATTTCTCCACATCTTTCTTGAAATGTGGTACCCAGAAGTGGACACAATCCTCCAAATAAGGTCGGAACAGAGCCGAAGAATGACTTCTCGTGTCTTGCTCACGAAACTCCTATTAATCGCAGAGTCATGTTTGCTTTTTTCGCAATGGTTGACTCATATTTAACGTGTGGTCTACTCTGACCCCTAGATCCCTTTCTGCAGAACTCTTCCCTAGACAGTCACGTCCCATTCTGTGTGTGAGAAATGGATTGCTCCATCCGAAGAGCAGCACCTCGCATTAGTCCTTATTAAACTCCATCCTATTTACCTCTGACCATTTCTCCAATTCATCCAGCTCATGTTGAATTATGACCCTATCCTCCAAAGCTCTTGCAAATCGGTGGTAGGAGAGGGATCATGTGAGGATTCCCTTTGGGACACCTGGCATTGGCCACTGTCATCAGGTAGGAGCCTAGACTGGAAGGACATTTGGTCTGACCCTGTCTGGCCCTTCTGATGTTCTTGTGTGATCCCTTCCAGCTTGGTATCACCAAATGCTGTTCAGTACAATTTGGCAGCTCTTTAGACTGGTGGCTCATCGTTTTATTGACACACTGATGGGGACTCCCCGGATGGTGACGGTTTCCATGTTTCCTTCCCTCATACTCCGGGTTCTTTAAAAAACTATATTTAATGATCAGGGTAGCGCACAGGTGGGCAGTAAAATGACAGTTCACCAGGCTTAGCCACCGCGGCTTGTATTTACCTGCACCTCCGCAGGTCTGGGCCATCGCAACTCCCATTGGCCGAGAACGGTCATGCGTGGCCAATGGGCGCAGTGAGCCCTGTACCAGCGGAGGCATGGATAATACAGAGTGGGATGTACTACTCAAGGGGTAGGGCATAGAATCATAGGGCTGGAAGGGACCTCGAGAGGTCATCGAGTCCAGCCCCCCGCCCTCAAGGCAGGACCAAGCTCCGTCTACACCATCCCTGACAGATGTCTATCTAACCTGTTCTTAAATATCTCCAGAGAGGGAGATTCCACCACCTCCCTTGGCAATTTATTCCAGTATTTGACCACCCTGACAGTTAGGAATTTTTTCCTAATGTCCAATCTAAACCTCCCTTGCTGCACTATAAGCATAGTTAAGTGGTTTGAGCCTTGGTCTTTTAAACCCTCAGTTGTGAGTTCAATACTTCAGGGGGCCATTTAGAGAACTGGGGTCAATTTGTCAGGTATGGTACTTGGCTCTGCCATGAAGGCAAGGGACTGAGTTTGAGGACCTCTCAAGGTCCCTTCCACCTCTATGAGATTGGTATGTCTCTATTATCAATACCAGCCTGCCAGCTGGGTCCAGTCTGTGAGGATTAACACCTGGTCCCCACACTCTGGATTCACCTGCATGTCCATGGGTACTGGCAATCCCAGTCTAAATATTATCTAGACCATCCCTGACAGGTGTCTGTCCCACCTGCCCTTAAATACCTCCAAGGATGGCGATTGGACAACCTCCCTAGGTAATTTATTCCAGTGTTTGACCACCCTGACCGTTAGGAAGTGTTTCCTAATGTCCAATCTAAACCTCCCTTGCTGCTGTTTAAGCCCATTGCTTCTTGTCCTGTCCTCAGAGGCCAAGGAGAAGAATTTTTCTCCCTCCTCCTCCTCGTGACACACTTTTAGAAACTTGAAAACTGCTCTCCTGTCTCCTCTCAGTTTTTTCTTTTCCAAACTAAACACACTCCGGGTTTTTCTCTTTCCTCACAGGCCACGTGTTCTGATCCCTTAATCTTTTTTGTTGCTCTGCTCTGGACTTCCTCCGATTTCTCCACAACTTTCCTGACGTGCCGGGCCCTCAGCTGGACACCATGTTCCAGAGGCCTTATCAATGTTTCATAGACCAGAAGAATTTCTCCCCGATTCTTGCTGACAACTTTCCCGCTACAAATGAAGTTCCTTAGTTTTGCAAGAGAATGCCACTGTTAGCTCATCGCTAGTTTGCAATCCACCATGACCCCCGCTCCTTATCTGCTGTCCTCTGTCCCAGGAGGTTGTCTTCCTGCTTCATATGTGTGCGGCTGGTTCTTCCTGCCTCAGGACAGTGATTTGCAAGTGTCCTTAGTGAACCGTGTCCTGGTTATTTCCGAGAATGTCTCCGGTGTGTCGAGATCATTTTGAGTTCTCTTCTTCGAAGTGCTTCCAACCCCTCCCAGCTTGGTGTCATTTGCCTACTCGATCCATGTGCTTTCTACACCATTAGCTAAGTCATTTGGGAAGTTATTCGACAGAAGCTAGTGACACAGAGGTGGGTGGAACCCCCGGGCCCACCCACACCCACCCCTCCATGTGCAGCCAGATGTGACTCTCTGTTGGCAGGCAGAAGACGGTTGATTCGTTGACAGCGTAGAACAGCCGTGTCAGCATGGGAGGCAGAAGAAACTGGCACCATCCACCGTGGGGAGTGAGGGGCCCAGAGCCAGGGCCCTGCCCCTATGTCCGCCCCACAAGCCAAAGATATTCACTCACCCACACAAAGCCTGCTCATGTCCAACTTCTCTGGAAAATGTGTCACCGGCTTACACTTCCCCCCCGGCTCAGGTTACAAACGGCTTCGGGCCTTCTGTACGTGAGGGGGACACATTGAAATCCCCTTCTCCATCTAGGTGTGTGTGCAGTGCCCAGGGAAACTGAGGCACGCCAATGGGGTAACTGCAGGATAGTGGCAATCACATGCCACACCCCCAAGTGAGCGGAGTGAACCCAATCCACGCCCTATCCACGCCAGGGTGACTCTTGCAGGGACCCAGGGCTGTTGGATGTTGTGGGGCCCCCAGATGGGGCAGAAACGAGGGGTTCTGGGAAGCACGGGAGGGCAGCAAATTGGAGCTGGGGCCAGGCCGATGAGTAAGGGGCTGGAGAAAAAGTCCTGAGAGGGAGAATTGCAAGTTCTCGCTCTGTTTGGCTTCTCCACAATTCACGGGGGCTGGGGGG